CTCGCCCGGCGCCTCCTTGCCCCAGGGCGGTCGCTCTCCGTGCGTGGCCCACTGGTAACGTGGACTGCAGCCACGTGCTGCCCCCATGGCGGCCTCGCAGGTTCCGGGGGAGAAGATCAACATCCAGGCGGGAGAGGCAGCCAAGGCGGGGGACAGGGACCTGCTGGGCACCGACTGTCCAGAGCCGGACGGGCCGCTTCCTCGCTCCTGGAGACACAAGTGCGCCTCCTACGTGCTGGCCCTGAGGCCCTGGAGCTTTAGTGCTTCACTCACCCCCGTGGCCCTGGGCAGTGCCCTGGCCTACAGATTCCAGGGTGTCCTGGACCCCAGGCTGCTGGTGGGCTGTGCAGTGGCTGTCCTGGCAGTGCACGGGGCAGGCAATCTGGTCAACACGTACTATGACTTCTCCAAGGGCATTGACCACAAAAAGAGTGATGACAGGACCCTGGTGGACAGAATCTTGGAGCCCCAGGATGTCGTCCGGTTTGGCGTCTTCCTGTACACCTTGGGCTGTGTCTGTGCCGCCTGCCTCTACTACTTGTCCCCTCTGAAACTGGAGCACTTGGCTCTCATCTACTTTGGAGGCCTCTCGAGCTCCTTTCTCTACACGGGAGGTAAGAACAGGCGGCCTTGGCTGCAGGTCTGCCTTGCGAGCCTGCAAACTGCTGCTGCCTAGGGGTGGTGGGGCTACAGGAAACGGCTCAGAGACCTTTCGGAGTAGCTGCCTTACGCTGGACACACGTGGGTCTTGTGGAATGTTTGGAAACTGTAGTAAGTTGAGAAGACCCGGGTCAGACACTGGACACTAAGAATGACTCATGTGGGAGGTGTCGCGTCTCTTTGGCCCATCTTACCTTATTATAAGTTTCAAATGTTAGTGGAATTAAATCTGAAGGGCTCAGAATGAAACAGCTAGTTACTTTCAGTGAGTTTGCTGGTAACCGCTTGCCACCGGCGGACGACCAGGATGGGCAGGCGCTGAGCCGTATACTGAGCACCTACTATGTGTCAGGAACCGTGCTGCGTGAACCCCTGTGGACGTAATGTTATACATGGTGACGACAGAGAGGAAGTAGAAATGGTAACTTATAGTGAGGGTGACCGTTTCTATTCGGCCAGGATGTGGGGCTTAGCCCTGTAACCAGGAAGGACCGAGGAGTCCGGTTAAAAAGATGGTGTTGTGAGAAGTGAAAAAGTATAAAAAGAAAGGAGGGCATCGCTGACTGCTTGAAGTAGCCAGGTGAAGGTCAGGTCAACAGAAAGTGACTGCGGAGCCAAAATTGAGGGAGATCCGTGGGTTAAGTGGTTCTCTGGAGGAAGAGTGTCCCGGATCTGGGAATGGCAGAGCCTGAACTGGAACGTGCCGAAGACCTTGAGGAATAGCAGAGTCTAGTGTGGGAAAGAGGGAATGAGTGAAAGGAAACGAGTGAGAGAAGTGTGCTCTTGGGGAGGGCAGGGAGGCACGATCAGGTAGGCAGAGACTCACTCTGATAAGAGACAGATGGACAAAGGGCAGTGCAGGGCCAGAGGCGGGGAGACCACCCAGGCCGCTGAGAAATTCAGGCAAGAGCTGTTTGTGGCTTGGACTAGAGTGGTGGTGTTCGAAAGAGAAGCAGCAGAAGGATTCTGAATTTTTTTTTTAAGATTAAAAATTGATTTATTTATTTATGCATACAGAACTGGGGTACAGGCCAGAGGTGCAGGGGGTGAGAGGAGTCGCCAGAGACAGGGTGGGGAGCAGAACAGGCTGATCTACTGGAATCCACTGCTGAGGGGAGACAGGAGAGGTCTGCTGCGCCCTGTGGGTCACTCCCTGGCTAGGGATTGAACTCGTGCTGCAGGGGCTTCGGACAGCTTCACAGTGCTGCGCTTTAGCCTGTTGCACCACCAGGGAGGGCCCCTCTGAATGTATTTTGAAGGTGGACAGTTTGCTAATGGAGATGTGAGGCAGGAGAGAAACAGGAAAAAAACACTTCTCAAAGGTTCTGGCCCGAGTTACTGGAATCGTAGAGCAATGTTAAGTGAGGCACAGAAGATTCAAGATAGGTTTGCGGGGAGAAAATTGGGGGATGTGTTTGGACACTTTAATGTGTTATGTGTTCCAGTGGAGATGTCAAGTTGTAGTTCAGGGGAGAGGTCTGAGTCAGACATGCAGATTGTGAGCCCTGGGCACACAGCTGAAGTTCAACTGCGGGGAGATCATGGGAGGAGGGGGTGCTGGTAGAAACTGTAGAAACTGGAGGGGAGGCAGGATGAGCCTTGGGGCACCGTGGGAATCAACAGGGAGGGAGAAGGAAACCAAGACGGGTGTTGGCCACCAACTGTAAACAGATTTGCTAGAAGGAATGGCTGCGGTAGTCTGTGGACGGCCAGGTAAAAGGAAGAGGCTTCTCTGTGCAGGGGACATTTTAACTAAGATTGAAGGATCAGGAGCCAGCCGGGGGCCACAGTTGGGGTCTGATTCAGGCGCCGGATCCTTCAGAGCTGAAGGAATAGCAAATGCAGATCCCCGATTGGGGAGAGGCTGGCGTCTTTCACAGGTGCTGAGAGGCCGGTGTGATCAGGAGCGAGCGGCCGCTGCTGGAGAAGCCGGGTCGCCCCTGCCTCCGCTGACTCCTCCTCACTCCCAGCCTCCAGGCTCAGTCAGTGCCTGGGCGCTGTTCTCCAGCTGTGTTTGCTTGGGATTTCTGGGGCTGGGGTTCCCTGTATCCCGTGGGCCCAGGCACCCCAGGCTCACCTGACTCCTTAGTCATTTCGCCCAGAGGCCTCACAGGCATCTGAAGCCCAACATTTCGGAAACCAAATTCCTGATCATCTCCCCAGATAAAACTGCTCTGCCCAAACCTTCCCCATCTCACTTGATGCGATTTCATCCTTTTAGATCTTCAAGCTGAGAAATGACCCACCCCTTTTGTTTCCAGTCTTGATCAAATCCTGTTGACTCTACTTTGGCAAAGGCTTTGCGATCTGACCCTCACCGCCTCCTGCACTGTGCTCTCTCTCCATTACTGGGGCCAGTTCCCCACTCATCTCGTGCACCCAGACCTGTCCCTTTCAGGTGACCCCAGTCAGCAGCTACCAGTGGCTCCCACCTGGGTCCGAGGAAAGGCTGTGGCCTCAGCAGTGCCCCCAGGACCTCACACTGCCTGTCACCCTCCACCCCCGCCCAGCTCTCGCCTGCCTGCCCGCCCTGCTGCCCCAGCGCTGCAGCCACGCCGCCCTCCCCGGCCCTGTTGTCCCTGGGGAGCCCCAGGCCTGCTCTTCGCGCCTCTGTGGATGCCTTTTCCTCCCTTGGAATGTTCTCCCGCCTTCGGCCTGCAGGATTCACTTTCGAAACTGCTGCACCCATTTGCTCAAATGTAGCAGTTTAGTGAGGCCTTGTGTTCTACCCTATTTAAAAGCACAAAGCAGTAAAGCTTTTTGCAATAGCTAAAAGGAAAAAAATTCTGTACGCATGTTCACGCATGTGTCCCCTGGCCCCGCCGGCCCCACAGCTCCTTGCCCGTCTTCTCTGCTTTAGTTTTCCTCACAGCGCACCCTCTCGTAACCTGCCTTGGAAAGCACTTTGCCCTGTGAGCTCCTGGGGCCGACCCTCTGCTCGAACAGAGCCCGGCATTGGGTCTGCACTTAATATTCCCTGAGTGAACAAATGGAGGACCTCGAAGTGTCCTGAGCAAAGCAGTGACATCTGATGTAGGGGTTTTTTTTATAATGCTGCTTGGTGATGTATGACTGGCTGGCTGTGGAAGGCGCGGATCTAGGTGCCTGTTGGGAGACTGCTGATGCCTGTGCACGCGGCGGCCTGACTGGCGGCGTCCCGGGGCCGCGTGCTCCCTCCGTCCCGATTCGCGCCTGGGTTGGTTTTGCCAGCTTTAGGCGGTGAGTAAATGGAGACCTGCTCTGCTGTTTGTGAGGTTCCTCATGCTGTGTTGTGGCTCCCCATTATGCCTTAGGGGCCCCGGGGGACACCCCACCATTCATTTACCCACTGCCTGTTCAGCAGCATTTGGGTTCTTTCCGTATTGGGGCGATTATGCCTGGACATCCGTGTTCGTGTCTTCCCGTGGCTGTCGTGCTCATCTTTCTTACAGAGCTGCGGCAGAAGGGGTGCTGGGTCACAGGGTAGATGGTGTTTACCTGCATGAGAAGTTACTATGGTTTTTTTTTTTTTAAGATTTATGTATGCATATAGAACTGGGGTACAGGCCAGAAGTGCAGAGGGGTGAGAGGATTCCCCAGAGACAGAGTGGGGAGCAGAATAGGCAGATCGACGAAGTACACTGCTGAGGGGAGCAGCGGGCGGGTCAGGAGAGGTCTGCTGTGCCCTGTGGGTCACCTCCGGGGCCGGGGATCGAACCTGCACTGAAGCGGCTGCAGCTGGTTTGCGGTGCTGCGCTTTAACCCACTGTGCCACCAGGGGGCCCTGCTAAGGTGCTTTCTATCGTGGAGGCAGTTTCATCTCCAGCCAGAGGCCCCCAGTGCGCCTCGTGCCTGCTCTCAGGCCGCTGTGTTGGGCAAGGAGGGGTTTCCCTCATCGCAACTCCTGCTGATTCTGGGGGAGCACACGGGCCTGGAGCCACGCGTCGGGTATGTGGGAACCAGGGCTTCCTCCCCCAGCGCGCTGTCGTTCCCCTGGGAGCCGACTCCAGAGGTTATCGGCCCTGGCTCATCCTCCGAGGGGGTTTACGTTGCGCTTTGTGGGGGCCTCTCTGAGGGGAGGTCTTGTCTTGCAGGCACCTGTTTCTGTTCGACTTTGCTCACTTCATTTCTTGCCAGAGACCTAAGAAGAACTCGTGGCTCCGCTAGCCAAAGGTCAAGGCTGCAGAGCTGTAGGGGGCAGGGCAGCAGGCTCTGGGGCCCAGGAGGCCACCGAGCCTCCTAGTCCCTCGCTCATCTCTACTTTCTCTGGGCTCTCTGGCGTTCTCTCGTGGCCTCGCCTCCCGGTAGCCGGCTTCTGCACGTGGCTCCGCTCCGGGCGCAGGCGTGTACCCTCGCTCGCCTCTCGCTCAGGCTGCAGGTGTCTGCCATCAGGCGCGTGCCCCAGCCCACGCTCCCAAGCGCCTTTTACGTCAACACGAGGCATAAAGAGCCTGGTTAATTCACTTACCCCACGGGGGCATAGCCAGAGCCCCGCAGTCTGCTTGGAGAGCTGGAGGGCAGCCAGGGAGCGGACAGCCGGGGGCACACTGGCAGATGTGTGCCTGGCTCTGCCCACCCTGGTCGGCCTCAGGCGCGCACAGAGGGCAGGTGGCGCCGCTCTCCTAGGTTAGCACTGAGCTTCCTCCTAGAGCGCCTGTCCTCAGACACCCAGATGGCTCCTCGGCCAAGGCAGGGTGCGGAGGCAGCGCGCTTTGTGTTGGGTGTCAGAGGCCCTGCTGTGACACCGACTCTGGACGCTTCATCCTAAGGAAGCTGGCACCCGAGAACCCCAGCGAGGTGGAGGGGTCAGCTGGTGCTGCGGGTGGCTGTTTTGCAGTATATGAGCGTATCAAGTCAACACCTCGCACACCTCCCGCGTTCACGGGTCATAGGTCAGTTGTGGCTCCCGGATGCTGGGGCCCAGCCACGTGAGGGGTCATCACCGCATCTCCTTTGGCGGCCTGGCTTTAGCGCATCAAGGCCGTTCACTGGCCTTGTTTTAGGGAGGTTAAAATACAGCTGAGTCCAGTCTTTTCTTCCAGATCCTGAGGTGCTACCTTGGCAGTTTGGGTAGATTTGGGGTTTCCCATGCCTCTGTAGCAGTATGTGGGTCACCCCCGTCTCGGGTGCCTGGCAGCCATCCCATGATGCACCTGTTTAAGTGGGGGATTCCCCGACCTCAGCCCCAAATTCCAAGGGCTTGTTAACTCCAGCCCTGTGTTCCTTCAGCCTCTGTGCCAAGCCTGAGAGCGGGCTCGAGCCAGACCCCAGCCCCGGCCTCACGGGGCTCAGAGCTTAGAGGGTAAGACAGGGGCAGTGAAGTGACTAGAGCGTGATTCGGTTTGTGAAAGCAGAGCCGGCGCCAGAGAGCGCATTACATGGTCTAGGGGGGAATGATGTCTAGGGAATGAGGGACAGCTGCCTTGGGGAACGGTCTAGAAAGTCTTGAAGGATTTGGGGGAAACCAGATCAGTGGGTTGGGAGGAGGGTGTCTGAAGTCCTTGAGGGACTGAAGGAAACGAGGGGGGAGGGAGCTCAGAAGGGGCAGGGCAGAGGTGAGTCGGGGCAAGGGCCCAGGGCTTTCTCCGAGGCTGTGGTCGATGGGGTTCAGGTGTGCGGACCGGGGGCTTGGCCATGCGAGTGTGTCAGGGGTCTCTGGAGGGTAGGGTAGGAATGGGGCGGGGCCGTGGCTGTAACCGTGGAGCTGAGGGGCCACCTGGAAGGATGGGCAACGTTCCAGGGGAAGATGAGCGTGCGTGGGATTTGGGGCTGCCGTGAGGTAGGCTGAGCGTGGCCCTGGGCCTGGCACCAGCCGGCAGCCGGAGCGCGGAGCAGACAGGACCCGAGGCAGGCAGCGGCCTGGCGGGGCCGGAGGGGGCGGCAGCGCTGGGACGCCCCTGCCTTGGCTGCTCCTCTCACGGTGTGGGTGCAGCTTTCTTTTGGTGGAGTTTGAGGACCACGAAATGTCACCGAGATTTACTAGGGGTTTTCAGCCCGAAGGTCCCTCCAGAGGCTGCAGGAGGAGGCAGAGGGAAGCAGGCGGGGGCGGGAATGAGCTCTGAGGCCCGGCCCACTGTGTTGCAGCAGAAGCCATGTCCTGTGGGGGCTGGGGCGGGGCGGGAGCCAAGGTGGACAGGCCTTCCCAGGCGCTGCGGGTGAGGTGCACGCCTGCGCCGGCCTCCCTGCTGTGTGCGGCATTGTTGGGGGACAGTGAGGAGGGAAACTTGGGATGCGCCCCGCGGCCTCACTGGGACCTCCATGACTCTGTCACAGGACAAGAAGGCGGATTTGCGGGGGGTCGGGCCCCCGTGACCGGCACCGCCGTTCGGCCTGAGGCGCCTGCCCCGCCTGAGGAGCCGACCGCGGCCGCGCCGGGCTCTCACGCCGCTCTCTGGGTTTTCTGGCCCTAGGGATTGGATTCAAGTACGTGGCTCTGGGCGACCTGGTCATCCTCATCACCTTCGGCCCGCTGGCCGTGATGTTCGCCTACGCGGTGCAGGTGGGGTCCCTGGCCGTCTTCCCGCTGCTCTACGCCGTGCCGCTGGCCCTCAGCACCGAGGCCATCCTGCATTCCAACAACACCAGGGACACGGAGTCGGACCGGGAGGCCGGCATCGTCACGCTCGCCATCCTCATCGGCCCCACCCTCTCCTACGTGCTCTACAGCATGCTGCTCTTCCTGCCCTACCTGATCTTCAGCATCCTGGCCACGCGCTGCAGCGTCAGCCTGGCGCTGCCCCTGCTCACCATCCCCATGGCCTTTTCCCTGGAGAGGCAGTTCCGGAGCCAGACGTTCAGCAAGCTGCCCCAGAAGACCGCCAAGCTCAACCTCCTGCTGGGGCTCTTCTACGTCTTTGGCATCATCCTGGCCCCGGCTGGCAGTCTGCCCAGGCTCTGAGGGACGGGGCTGCCGCACCTGTCCCCGCTTAGGGTGTGCTGCAGGCAGATGTCTGAGGAGGGGAGGGGGCTCAGGGTAGCTTGTGACTACTCACCTTTAAAAATTCTTATGATTGTAAAGATAATGTTTTGTTCCGTTTTTATGAGCAATCCGAAAACCGCTCTGGTGTCGGGATTTGGCGGTTTTATTTTTAACTTCCACTAGAGGGCGTCGTCAGGTCACTTTGCCGGGGACAGACACAGGCCCCGTGTGGAGCGCCTCAGCCACCGGGCTGGCGCCTGTCCTAAGCGAGTCTTGCTGGGGGGTGGAAGGCTGCCGCCCCTGGACGGGGAGCAGTGCCTCCTACTCAGAGCCCTTGCAGCCTGCCTGGGGCAGGCAGCTTGAGAGTCCCTCATCAGCGCTACACCATGGCCCCAGATTTGCCCAAATTCTGATGCAGACACGCTTGTCCGTCACCCTGCACCCCTGCGGTCAGGCTGGGACCAGGAGAATCCCGCCCTGGAGGCGGCTGAGGAAATTGCTCTGCTGTGGACAGAAATCGGGTGTTTCCTGGGTAGGATCCGCTGGGGCGACAGGAGGAATGCCCAGCCCTTTCGGGGACCGTGAGGGGCCTAATTGTGGTGGCATCGCTACCCCTCCCCGCTGCCTGGCGCCTCCCCTCACACTCCCTTCGCTCTCCCACACCCCCATGAGCGCCTCCCACCCACAAAGCCCTTCTGTTTGGGCCTGCGGGGGTGGTCACCTCTCGGCCCAGAGACACGGGGCCAGCGCTCCCGGGTGAAGGAATAAGCATCAGACAAGCAGCCTGGCCCTGCCCGGCTGGCCAGGCCCCGCCTGCGAGGATGCTGGGTGCCCCCCCCACCCCCCCGCCGCGTGTGAACTGCCCTCGCTTCCCCCAGAGGCGCTGTGCCCGGTACGGCGGCGCCTGGGGCGGGCGTCCGAGGGCCGCGCTCCCCACCTCGCTGTGGCGTGTGGCTCCGGCAGGTGTCGCTCAGTGGCACGGGCCCAGGACTGACACGGATGGACACCGTGACAGCCACGCTTTTCTGTCGTGATGGCCGTGCTGACAGGTCATTCAGGGACTTGACCTGCAAGCAGGAGATGTAGTAACTACTTCTTAGTCCGTAAAATCAGGCTGCTTATGATCTGCCTCCCTGAGTTAGGATGGGTCAGCTGATTTGGGAAAAAAGAAAACATCTGGAAATTGTGGAAGTTCCTCTGAAGCTAGAGTTTGCAGGGTGGAACACCCTGGAATGGTGACCAGCGCCCAGTAACAGGGAGAGGGGGTGAAGCCTCTCGCCAGCGTGTGCCCAGCTCCCACTTTGTTTCTCGCCAGGCTGGCGGCAGTCTGGTGCTGGAGGCCTGCCCTCAACGCGCAGCCCTTCCCGATCCCCACCGGAGCGAGCGTCCCGCGTGGGGCTCACCGAGGCTGTGGGACCACGTGATTCCTTTTCACAGACCAGACCCACCTTGTGAGCCCCCCTCTTCAGCTCGGGGGTGTCCGCTTCACACTGTGTCCTGGTGCAGATTTTAATGCACATTTTTATATGTAAATGTTTCTAAAAGGCCATATTTGGTGACAGGTTTTATGGGCAGGTCACCATCATTTGTATTACGTCCCCTGGTTCCAGGAAGGTTTTCGTTCGCTTTGTTAATAAAGAAGAAACTGTTCCTTTTGGTCTGGCTTCCGGTTTGTCTCTGCTTCCCTCCTACGTCTCGTCTGGTGTGGCTTCTAACCCACGCACCTCAGGAGACCAGGGCAGCGACTCTGGGACACTCGGTAGTGGGGGGTGGCATGGGGTCCCTGAACTTCGACGCTGAACTGGGATGGGGTTTGATCAGGCTTGGGGAGCCTTGAGGAAAGGCAGTAGGAATGCGCGGCCCGTGTGGGTCACGCGGTGGCCAGATGCGCCTGGCCCTTCCGTGCTTCCTCAATAGGGCCACTGAGCTGGTGGGTGGCATGCACCCGGGTTTCAGCCAGGTGTTTGCCACAGATCCTTCTGATCAAAGCAGGGGTGTGCGGAATGGATGGCAGTCTCGGTAGGAGACAGAGCCGGTCAGGGGCGACCGGAAGGAAGCCTTGAGCCGTAGGGCAGCCTGCCCACTGCCCGCCCACTGCCCTCTGCCCTGACAGACTCCACACTTATTGTGAATGCCTAGAATCGGGCAGCCGTGGCAGGGTTTGTTAACTTTGGAGGAAACACTTATAAAATGCTGGGTCAAAGGGAACACGTACATGATACATATAAAGCCATCTGCTTGGGTCTAAAAGATCATGGCGTGCCGCAGGGGACGGCAGGACTTCCTGACGGCTCGGGTTGACAGCTCATGCCTTTGGATCAGATTTAGTTAACTCCTGGGGGTGGCTGGAAATTCAACCTCAGTCCCCTCTTGGGCCCCCTCTTACCCATCAAGGGTCTCCCGGGACCCCTGGGTCTTGGAGGGGGGGTAGAAGCCAAGGGTGTTGGCTGGGCCTGAGCTCCACTTCTTACTGTCTGTTAGGTCTCTGCTACTTCATGCTGAGGTTCGGGAAGAATGTTCTAGCCACTAGAAGAATTGGCAGGAGATGTCTGAGCGCCCCATGGGCCCTGAGTTCCCTTGACTAGAAGCAGGCGCTGGAGCAAAACGATATGTCCTCGTTAGGGGTATTGACACAGAGCTGGCCGTCGGGGCGGATGAGACTTGCAGGATCTTCCATCCTGTGACATGGCTGTTGTGTCAGCACAGGGTTTTCTCCAGGCCTGCCCGGGCTGGGAGGACAGGCTGGCATCTCCCCTCCATGGTGTCAGGGGAGTGTCTGCCTGCTCAATGGAACAGGCTTGCCACCACTGAGTCCCTTTGTAAAAAAGATCACAGATCCACACGTGTGTGTGCACACAGCGGC